TCAAAGGGTTGAAGAGGACTAAAACAACAGATCGAAAATGTTCTTATAAATCGTACCTATGCTTGAAAGATAACGAACCTTTCGAAAATGTTTATTTAAAAGCAAAAAAGTGTAGGCCGTAGCAAAAGGGTTAACGTACACCTGATAAATTCGGTGTTTCACGATTGAGCAGAAATGTCGATTAAGTCGTTTCGACAGCGAAGTTCACGTAATCGTTGGAGAGGAGTCGGTACGTAATCGAAGGCGAGAGGAACAGAACACGGTGACAGCTGAAGGATCCTCGAGTCTCAAAGGAAAATAGAGGGTCCGAGGCATTGGAAAGGGTGAGAAGAATTTAGACTCGGAAACGACGGGGTGGCGGCTCTGTGAAAGAGAGGGAAAAAAAGAAACGAAAAAGATGGTCCAACCCTTTCCTCTTTCCTGGCTGTCGCACGGAACCACGGAAACTACGTTGGAAATTCTATTCTATAAATACCGTAGTCGCGCGGTTTCTCCGGTTTTTTCGGCCGTTCTTTCTTCTCGAACCGCTTTTTTGTCTTTCCACCCCTCGGGAGATGAGCACCGGCCATATGGTCCGCGAGGGAGAGATAAAAAATTCATATTTCCACCGCTGAAGGGCCGAGCCGCGATATTTTTATACCCAGAACCGCGCCAAGAGAACGTTCAACTTTCCTTCGCTCGACGGTTTCGTGACTTTTTCGTAAACCCTATTTCACGGCGGAAATTACGAGGAAATATTCTTCCATTTGTTTCTTTAGGCGCGGAAGACATCTCGACTGGAGCTATTTGGATTAACACTTGAACGTTCGCCGCGAGCTTTCCAAATCTAAATCGGTGATGGAGGGTAGCGACACGTTTTCCACGTATGCACCTTTCCGTGAAATTTGGAATGAATTATAATGGAATGTATCCCATATAACTTTGTCATACATTTACCATATAACTTTTTTCATGGAAATTTTCATACAACGTTCTCACAAAATTTCCATACAGCTTTCCTATAGATTTACAATAATTATTACAAATTAAATTTGTATCTCACACGGATCAATTTCGTAATTACTGACACATTCGCCGAGTGAAATATTATACTAGCGTAAGAAAAAGAAATAACAAGTTGAAATGCACCATATATCACAAAGTCTTTATATTGGAATGTGAAATCATGCTGCAGTTCAACTTCTTTCACTCGTGCCGTTATAATTCTCAGCCATTTCTCGAATCACATTCTTAGCTAACTCTACGCTTGTACATTTTAAGCGTGTTTATGTTTTCAATAAATACCACGGGATTTCAGACTTTTTTTTGCTCACTTATGGGCAAGCATTCGATGAATTTGAGAACAAACGCGTAGCGAACTCGTGAGTGCAGTTAAAAGGCAGGAAAGTTACGGAAATCTTGGATGGAGGAAACACGATATTTCATTGAGACTAAACGGGTCTTTAAGGAAGCGATGTGGGACCGGTATCCTGACCCATTTCGAGAGGGTTACGCAGCAACCCTTTCGCCAGCGGAAAACCTAACGGACCGCGACTCTTTTTCCCACATTCTACTTTCCACGAAACGCCGACTACCTGATTTTTCGACGGGGTGAAAAGCGGTCACGAATTAAAAGGGATCCCCTCGCAGCGCAGGTGACGCAACAGGCTAGATAAACTGAAATTAATTTCCTGCCACGCTGATCGCATCTCCTCGAATCCGCGTTCTCTGCATTAGCATTCAACAAAGCGAGTCGCTGTAGTCTCGTTAATACTATTGTTCGCGACTCGTTAGAATTGTTAAGCGACGTTCCCGTAGGGTCGACGTAAGGGTTGCGGTTCCTCGCGGGTTCGATTTCTTTTTCTAATTCGGACTCGAATTATTCTGAATCTGAATCTGAATAACGTTGAGAGGTTAGGATCGGCTAAAAAAGGAAACCTATACGGAAAACAGCTTCGTCGCTACCAGTACCGACAAAACTTGACGTTTCTTTCATTTAGTTTACTTAAAAAGGAAACAAGAAAGTCAGCCATATAAGCGCGCTTACTACAGTTAAAGATTCTATTTCAAATCTCCCCTATCATTTCTAAACGAAAAATTCAAACCATTTAAACGATAATTCCCAGTTGAATTCGTGAACGTTTACAAAATCGATCTCTCAACGAACTCTGTATGAAACTCTGTCGACCCTTTGTTCCAGATTCATCTCGTTTCCCGGCGACAATAACCTCGGTCGCGTCTCGAAGCAACGATCCACGCGAGGCGTCACATTTGCGCAGGAATAATCGTAACAAATGAGGATGTCGGATCGACGGTGAATCGAAAAGGAAGGAACGTTCACATGGCCGGCGTGAGTACCGTGAATCAGGCCCATTTTCGTTCATCACTCTTTTCAGCCTTAATCATCCTTAATCCGCGCTATAAACTACCCGCACGATGTAAGTAGCTCGGAAACGTCAATCTAAAAGCTGGAAGGGAGCGTGAATTGCCTGGGTTCCAGCCAGAAAGAAAAGCTGGCCAGCTCGGTCTCTGGGAACCCCTGGATCGTTTTAATTCGGTCGTTCTCGCTTTTGTTTCACCGGCACCAGTTAATTCGGCACATTGTTACTCCATTATGTTTACGATCGGTCTCCGCAGACAGAATCAAGCGCGTCTGTGCGGTGTACTCGCACCAAAAAAGGGGGAGGTCTCCTGGCAGCCGGAGAGTGGCGAAACTCTCTACATTATTGGACAAGAGCCACCCCTCGTAACTTTCCTTTCAAGCTCGAGTCTGCGCCCTGCCGCTCTTTTGTTTCGCTTGTAACTATGGAAAGTGGGAAACTCCTCTTTCCAACGGAATAACAAACTAACGTTTCCCGATCTTGTGCAGTCGTTTTCTCCTATATGAGATTCGAAAATTACGAACGTAACTCGAAACTTGCATCGATGCACACACATCGCTGGCGAATAATGAAATTTTAAACTTAACGTTTCAATGTTGCTACGTACTTCTGTCGACTTGTCGATTCTTCGAGACAGATATGTTCCATGATATTTCAAAGATTTTTACGTTCTCACGTTAGGTACACAAAGTTTATCGGTAGCATCGATCGATCTGTTGCGTGAACGTGTTACGTGCAAATCCATACTTTTATACTAATGTTATAAATGCGAAATATTGATCGAAACATACGAGTTACGAAACACAAACGACAACCACCTACCGATCGACGAAGGAGCACGCGGTCGAATGCGAATGACGTAAAATAAATAGTATTCCACATGGATGAAACCGCGGGATTGCAGCTATATAGAATAAGAACAGTGTTCTACGCGGGTGAAATCGTGGGGCGTAGCTAGTAAGTTGAGTAAAAGAAAATCGAGCTACTACGAACAACTTATCGATCACGATTAACATCGTTGTGAATTCAATATCTAATGTTACAAGTGCTCTGGGTTTTGCATAATTGAATAGGTTTAAAACTCGCAAGAGGCAGAAAGGATAAGAGCACGAATAGTTAGTAACTAAGGGATTACAGATGGATCGATAAGGAGTGTTTCTAATTTCTCTTCCGGGACCCTGTAGGTCCTTCGAGAGCTCTCCGTCTCAATTAGCGACTAACCGAAAGGAGACTGGGGTAATCGTCACCCCTGCGAAACGAATCGCCGATAAGCGGTGACGATGACAGCGGCACCTCATTCTGGGCGTAAAAAGTAGGAGGGTCTTAGATGGGGTTGTTCGACAGTCCCGCCTGACGTCATTGGCCGGCACTGCGCCCTGGCGATTCTGCGCAAGGGTGGCAGTTGACTTTGCTGATCTGCGCCGTGGATCTTAGCAAACTCCTTCGTTACGCGTTCTTGGAGTTTCCGACGCTAAAATTTGTTGAAACTCGTCAGTCTTACGGGAAGGTACTCGAACAACGATGCCAATTTTACACAGATTAACACTAAACGCCGACCAATTTGATCGACGTACTTCAAATTTCTATTAACAATAGTTTTACTCTTTATGGGCAACTATTGTACACAGACAATTAATTTTATCGATAGAAATTGCTTTTCACCTCTTCAATAAATAAGATATAGTTATACGTTAATAAGACCCGTTGCAAACGATTATCGCCCAACCTACCGCAAACGTCTGCCCAGCGTCAATGAGAAAAAGGCACCATATTCTCGCACGGAAAAACTTGAATTACATTTCACAATAGTCAACATCCTTTGCTCTTCATTTTACAAATTGAATCTTGCTGGTGTATCAATCGCTAATGGAATCGCCAAATCGACGAATCCGCTAAACGAAAGCGGATCGCAACAATCCGAATTGCAAACCAATTCGATGAATCCTCGAATTTGAACGAGAAGGTAGAATATTCCACAATGTTCATTATCGACAAATCCTCATCTCGCGAACCAAACTCGTACCCTGATGACTTCGGTTATCAGCATTACGCCTAGGATGGTCCAAGCCTCGGTCCAGGCCGAAGAAGAGAGACAGTTGATCTTTATCGAAGAGAATCAACCATCGGTCTCCTCGAGCAAACTTGTAGACCCACCCACAGACTGCTGCACCCCCACCACGGCGAGGGTGCATCCGCGATAAGAAGAAGAAGCACGTGGACGAAGCATCGAAAGCAGCCGCAGGGCGCAACACGCCGCTCGCCAGCCGGTGGACGAGTGCGCGACAGTAGACGAAGACCAGAAGAACTCTTGGACGGTCTGCGCGACGGTGGCAGGCGTCCCGTCCTTGTTCGTCTCGTGTCCGATTCTCTCCGTCTAGCTCCGATGCAGTCGGAGCGGCAGAAGACCCGGCGAACCGTTCGGGTCGGACAGAGACGTCGAAGACAGAACTGCGTGGGGAGACTCGGTCGGCTGGCGGAACGCTATCGAGGTGGGGAGTCGGGGACGAGGTGGAACGACACGAAGGCGGGGAGAACGCGACGCGACGTGTCGTTCCGTCTGACGGGGTGGGGCATCGTTCCAGTGGCCGTGGTGGGAGCCGCGAACCGTGGATCGGCTCCGCGACGTTTGGAGGGGGTAGAGTAGCAACACCGCTCCCCACCACTCTGTCTCTCTCTCACCCTTCGGAGGGGTTCAGTCATCTCGCGCCAGCCGAGCCACGCGCACTTGCTTGTTTCACATTCTGGCCTCGGTGAAAGACTCTCTCCGCTCCGGACGCTACCGTCCGCACACGCGTGCTCTTTCGACCGTGTCGCACCCCGTGTCATCGGGGTTGTGAACGGCTCCGATAATTCTGATTCGCGTTGACGGTCGTTCCTCCAACGCGTGCTCGCGACAAGTCTAGCCTGCCTTCGTCGTGATCACCAAGCACCCAGGGCACACGGGAACCACAGACCGCCCCCTCTGGACGGAAGCCACGGAACATCCCCACTTCTTGGCCAATCGAAGCCTCCCCCACCAAGTGTCGGAGCCGGAGAGTTCCGTGGCGAAGCAGAAGACATACCGTGTACCGAGTTTTACGGGTGGAGAACCTGCGGATACGTAACGATCATCCCCCCAAAAACGGAGTATCGCTTCACGGCGAAGGATACTCCGTGGTTTTTCTCCGCGAAACCCGTGTTGCTTCGCCGGATCTCGTCGGTTTTTGTATCTTTCCGCGGCTCGTTGGTCGTCCTGTGCACGCGTGCACGCCCCACCCCCACGGGACCGCTGCCACCACCAGCTTGGAACACACACCCCCTCCCCACCCCCGCCGCGAAGTCGGCGAGCCAGTTCAGAGCGAGGACAGCGGCATCATCACGCGTCTCGACTGCTTCTCCCCGTGGACGGATCGGTGGTGACCCGGGAACTTCCGGTTCGCACGGCTCTGAGGGTGGCGAAGGTCGGTACGCGTCGCGGTTGAAAAAGTGATGCGTTGTCGGATCGGTTTTGGTTGACAGTGCGACGCCCGGGAAACACGCCTCAGTGGTTGATTGTTCGTGGACGGTGTGATTAGGCGAGTGATTTTATTCGTGACGAGTGTGACACATCGGAAACCTCCGCCGACGTTTTTGGTGATCTGCCCTCGGTTTTTATACACTGAACTGCTATATCGAGCGATGTCGGAGTGACATCCACGAACCTGGACAGCACGTACTATCGCGACAGCGAGTGATGAGACACGACGACAGCCAGTCGGTTGGACTTGTCCTCGGTTAGAAGAGTCGACCGTCCAAGAATCACGAGGACGAGGAATCAAGGCGTGTCGTGGTTTCACCGTGTTCCACGAGGACTATGCTGGGCAACGATCGAGCACTCACCGGAGGAAACTTGGATAATCGCTGAGATCAAGGTAAACGTCACTTGCGCTTGTCAAACGTCCGCGGACGTTGAATTCTGGTTTCTCGAGCAGCGTTCCTTGCCGAGATTCGCGCGATCTGCCAAAGGAGACAAAAGTGAGCCCGGTTGTCTAGTTGAAATAGTCCCAACCAAGCGACAGGAACGTTGCTAAGATCCGAGAAAGCCATCAAACCGGACGGCGGCCGGTTTATTTATAATTTATACGAGCCGGAGGACATCACGCGCGCGTGCAACGACAAAGTGTTCAAATAATGTCGGCGAAACGATGGGTTATTGTAGGGGCGACTGTAAAGCTAGTTGGCAGCTCCTAGCCCGCGTTACATTTTAGAGGTGCGCGAGAGCCCAGGGGAGACGGATTTAGCATCGACGTATTGTTCCATACAGAAGGGAAAAATATAAGTTTACCCGCGTAAATTGTAGTCTGGTAACGCACGCGACTTGTACGCGAAGACGCGTAATTACCTCGCGAGAGGGAATACACGCGTATCGCGTTCTGTTAGAGCGGAAAATTAGCGTTGCTCACTCAGACCCCCACGCGTAGAAATAACCATACGGAAAAGAGAGAGAGAGGAGAGAGAGAGAGAGAGAGAGAGAGAGAGAGAGATATGATTTTTTCGTGACGATGTTATCTGCGAGATTTAAGCAAGCCCCACGGAAAGAAACGCGATATCGAGGTGCCGCCGGGGTGGCGAGGGTGAATTTTTATGGCGAACTGTTGGCCTCGACGATTCCTTCCTTCGTCGGGAGCCTGTAATCAGAATCGCTAGCCACGATAAGCCTTCCCTTTAAATCTTTTCTCGTTCAGCTACTCGTGAATTCAACTGTGTGAAGTTCTAATGACACAGGGACTCGTTGCAAATGCGGACTGTAATCATGGTCGTTTCGAGTGGGATAAAGACTTTCTGAACTCTACGGATATTGTTGCTTTCGATGATTGCGTGCATTTCCGTGGCTCAATGTTCGATCGTCTTCGGGGATTTGAACCCTGCTAAGTTTCTCTGCGACATTCTTTTTAGTCGTAACCACCTCAGTAGTTTACTTTTCTACTGTCAAGTCAGAGTTGAAACAATAAACGAGTTGGATTCATGATTCGAACCTCGAAATAGATATTTCGTAAGAAACATTCATTTCGTTGTTGTAATGCGTAAAAGTGTTCGAATTCTATTATGTTCACGTATAATCGAAGAATATTTCATGTTCAATTACTTCGTGAATAAATTTCATGCTTAGATAAACTGAGTCATGCGTGACGTTTACGTATTTGACTTGTAAACAACGTTTTTCATCCACTCAATTTTTGTATTATAATTATCATATGCGGCCATAGAAGTTCTATTTATCTATAAGATTCTTCTAACACAGTTTCACAAGAACGCCTAGAATTGAGACAAACGCTCTGCTGCTCATTTTCCTTCAAAGAATTTTAATCGAATCGATCATGTCAGAACAAGTGTCGTTGTTGTTTTTTTTCTTATACAAGACGAACGTGAATAATTGTCGAAATCTATTAGAGATCGGATGTAATCCGTTCCATTTATTTCGTACATGCTGTAACCAGAGTGGGACAAAAGAAGTAATTAATTGATTAAAAAAGTATCAGTAATGCGCATTTGGAAACCGAATCATAATGTATACGTTCCTTAATCGTATTCATAAGAAACCGCAGTGGAAGTATCGTTTCCCAAACATGACGTGTTTCCAGTCTTAAATGCGCGTACCGATGTAGACGATTACAAGAGCGAGCCAAGAAAAAGTGCCGAATTGAATTATTCAATTCAGTTTAGAAGCGCCGAGAATTGAATTATTCAATTTAGATTACAAGGAAGAAATTCGAAAAAAATATCGACTCGGTCGGCTTTCGTAATCACCGGCGCATATAGACGTCTGTCACGTTGGCTCGTCCTTCGATATCGATCTTCGATTTCTTTACTCTCGAAAAACGAACACCATCGCGGCGAAATCTCGTCCCAAAAACGTCCGCGAATTCGGTTAAGAAACTGATCGGAGCGACGAAAGGAACCGTAAACAACCGCCGCGCCGATGAAAAAAGACCAGCAACGTAGTGGGGCCCGAGTGAATGGAAGAAATGAAGAAATGAAGAAATCAAGGGAAAAACGTAGAGAGCCGCGAACGGGCGTACTTGTTGATACACGGCGAATCTCTTGAAAAGAAGGAAAGGACGAAGGTAGAGAAAGGGAGAAAAAGAGAGCGCGGGGGAACGTAAGGAGGGAAGAAAACCTCGAAACAATTGGAGGCGCGGAGGCGGCCGCATTTCATGTTGGCTGGCATCGGCTCCCTTTAAAGAGTCTCTTGCTTTTTGTTAGCTCTTCGAAAATTATGATTGTTTGTCCGCGAGATTTACTGCTCCAGGGGGGCCTCCTCGATGCGGTATAACGTAGTCGAGGTGCCCTCCAGGGGCACCCAAAGACTTTTGCCGAGAAGGGAAGCGGTTTACAGAGATTAGAGAATCAGGAACGTCACGATATATGCTCTCTGTCGCGCTACCGAATCGCGTCCCTTCTCTTCCTGCATCTCCGCCGGCCTTCCTTTTCTACTTCTTTTTTCATCGCACCGTTGTTTGTTTATCGCGCCCCATTCCGCGTAATCTGGTCGCGGAGATTAACGGTGTATGAATAAGCTGATTCGGCCTGACGATTACGAGTTTCCATCGGGGAGGCTGTGGTTCGAATGGAATCCTACGTTTCGCGATACGTCGAGTTGGTTGCCGGTACAGGTGTGTATCCTAGGAATCTTCAGGCTTGCGAGAACGTCTAATAGACTTACGATAGCTTCGACAGTTGAGAACATCGTGAAAGATCATAGATGGTAACAACAATTATTAAAAGTGGTCAAATTGTTTGAGGTATTGCCGTACTTCGTTGGTATTTTGAGGACTCTGAGAACGTCACAGTGAACCTTAAAAACTTTTGACAAATTTAGAACTATGATTTCTTGGAATCTTACAGAATTTCGAGGACTTTGATTCTTGACGGAAGCAACAGTAGAATACTGTTTTGGAGTTATACGAGATGTAATTGTTGGAAACATTTCGGAAATTGTTGGAGAACTTTCAGGCATCCAATGCCTGACAGTGCCAGTGCATAACAACTACTCCAGAATGTTATTATCGAGTTCTTTGATATATAATAGTATTTTACTCCAATTTGGTGGTATCTGAAAATGTCTAATGAGTCCAGAAAGCGCTTAATAGCTTTCAAATTCTAGAATTTCTCGAGATTTCAGGGAATTTGTACGATTTTCATTGTTTGTGAAAATGACACTCAAGTATACCATCGAATTTTTTGAGTGTAATAGTTTCATCAAAAATGGCACGTAGCTACGTCGTCGCGCAATTACTTACTTTGTATGGAATGCGAATACGCTCTGGATTTTTCGTTAATCGTGAATTTTCTTCTTTGTAAAAGAACTTTGCCATTTAATGAAAACCTTTCAGCGGTATCAACGGTAATATTTACTGTAATCCGTAAATATTAATACCCCAGATTAACAAGCGTTTCGAGATTCTGCGGGTACATTAAGGCTTGAAAGGAGGAAAGGATCGGCTGAGAGCCTCTGGCAGCTCGTTTATTAATCTCGCGAGTCGGATATAAACCGATTTTACGTCGGTCCTCTCATTTTCAGGCTCGTAAAAATTAAGCTAATGAATGCGTTCCGTGAATTCCCATGAAAATATTTATTACGATCCGTAATTGAAATAAATTCTTTAGGCTCGCTCTGAATCCGCTCTCATTGGAAAATTGCGGATTTTCTTCTCCCCGTTCCCGATTCAAATTCGAAGATCGACGCGCTCTGGCTCGTAAACCGTTGACTTTTAAACTCGATACACTCGGTATTCCGTTGATTTATTCGGTATCTTATTGTGCCTCCGAACTAAACCCGACCTGGCCATCCCAAAAAGTGGCTTCTCCCTCTTTCTCTCCTCCCTTCTCGAGCTGGCGATCGCTCTATAAATTTCACGAGTCTTTCAAACCCTATATTTTCTCGTTATCCTCGCGTTTTGCACGACACGTTTTATTAAAGTACGATAATTTTACGAGGCGCAGCCTCCAACCCCGTCTTGTTTCTTGTTCGTCTTTTTACCGTCAGCGTTCTACCTAGTCGCCACCCAGGCAGGTTCTCTTTTCCTCTGTTTCATGGCCTCGTTGCCGCGATTTTCGATTCGTAATCGTTCGTGGATCGGGTTTCGCGTGGAAATGGATTCTTCTTGGTCTAACGCGTGTCGAACCACTTGGATTCTTAGCAGTCTCTTTGGATCTTAAAGAAGATTATAGGCAGTCGAAGTGCAACTTGCAACATAACGTACAACTTTATGGGAGCAATCTGGTAGAAGCCAATACCATCTCCAACGAAACAAGTTAGCGTTTTGGATCTCTTGGATTCCGGAGACCTAGGTTAACTGTATGTGACACATTCGCGTACGTTAGGTCTCTGTTGTTTCTGGTAGTTCTAGAGACCCCAGTCAATTTAATATTCGGTCAGTATACGCGAAGGATAACAAATTCTGACTGATCCTTGCGTCCAGTAGACCAAGTGACACGGATTCTCATGTTCCGAACAGAGTGGTTCGATAGGTGTTAAGATTGTATAAGATCGAATGACAATTCTTTCTTAAATAATGCGACGTTTCGCGAATACCGTGTTTAGCATTAAACCTACCGACATTTCACTTATACTTCATTTATACCACGAACCGTCAGTTTCACTGAGCTTTAAAATTAAAAAAATTAATATTCGTATCTTATCTACGTGCAAATTTTGACAAATTATTAAACTCTCAAAGGCATATATATATATATATTCCAATACATATACATACATATACATATTGGAACAGTTTGGAAAGAGTCGTTCGATAGGTCGTGTTAGGTTTAGTGTTAAAATCATTCCTTACGCTCCAGAAATCGAATTACCACACGCCAGTTCCACTGGCGATTAAATATTCGAAACGGTTTCAATCCGAGCCCTTATCGG